TTCGGGTTTATCTCAGACATGAAAAATATCAGTGTTTTAATTTTGTAAATCGTCGTAATCAAACGTTTTACTTAACTTCGCGATAGCAATGCAAACAACTAGCTACATCGACACCGTTATATATATATATATATATATATAACATTAAATGGTTTGTACATATGCCACGTTCCCAATGCAGAGTGATCAGTTCATTATGTTGACATATGCAGAGACGGTACGAGGAGCCTTCCTGTCAAAACAGGAGTTGTTTGCTTTCCCGCAAAGTCTAAAAGCAGGAAAACACTCTTCTGTAATAGCATGCTACGAATAACTAATGAGCTTTGCTTAAACTTCGGTCAGGGTGCGTTAACAGTGTAAGCTGCACGTCTGCATATGCATAATATGTACGTACGTACATACAAATGCAGCAAAAAACAAGAAAAACAGCATTATCGACAAGGCGTCCACACTCAGCCTATTCACCTTTCAAATTTTACGTTCATCATCGCCGTTAGGCATCCCATCAGACGGGTGGCTCCAAACATGCAACGAGCTGTGTCGATGCCTTGACTCGGACCGAGGCTACAACGTTACATACATCCAAATACATGACCCACTAGGATAGGGACGTCCACACTCAGCCCAGACAACCATCTTAATCAATCTTGTCTTGACAAACAACGTACGTATCTTTCGCAACGGTGTAGAACTAGTAATGGCCATAGCAAGAAAAAGATTCTTCAACAAGGGTTGTTTGTGCTCTGCTGGGTAAAGGTTGAAGAATCAATTAGAAGATAGCTAAGAATAGTCTAACATGACCAGATCTACTAGGAACACATCACGATATCCCGCTTATTAAGCGATATTGTGGCAAGTTTCAATATTACTTGAGCAATGGCTATCATGCAAGTTGTACCGTTAAACAGTCCCATAACAAGTATATGGAAATGCGTCAACTGAAACAGGAAATTTTCGGGGACTTAGAGATTTCGTCTGCCTTACGTAATACTTACTAAAATATACAGCATTATATTTTAGAATAGGCATGTATTGAAAAAACGTTTACGTATTTTCTGTTACAACAGCAAGCTAGACAGTTTATCGAAAGACTAACAGTTATTGCGATCTATAACACGGTGGTATAGTTGTGAGGTGTTAAAACGAACAGATGCTTTTTACGTTAGAAGTTACCATGCGGAATCGTTAATTCATTATATTACGCGAATCTCGATGCGTTAAGACTCTGTTTCGGAAGACAGGTAACCGCAGAGACCGAATTTGTGGGTGCAACAACTCTTGACGCCAACGTGCGCAGACGTAGACAACGGTTTCAAGTTGACATCAACCAACGGCTTCTTCACCCACGAAAACATTGTGTCACAATACCTTGTTTACGTAAAATATTAAAGTTCTAAGCAAAAAACCATAATAACGTGCTTGAAGACTCTTTGTTTCCTTTTACTTTTCAAGAAATGTTCCGATTGTGTTCTTCCTTCAATTCAGCGTTCGCGTCGTTCGATATACCTACTCTGCCCCTGCCGAGATCGGCTTGGATGTCTTAGCCATCATCTGAAAACATATAAGCTTATAAGCCTCACTGTCTTATAGTGCAGTCTTGAGCTTATGCATTTGTCTATAAAATAAAAGTTACCGACTTTTTTTTTCTGCTAGTTCTATGAAATAACAGAGAATCAGCACACGCATGAAAACTAAGGGGCTCATTATATTTTTACTGGTTTCCCTTGACATTTACCCGGTAATAATAATAAATAAACACAAAACAAGCTTGGTAGATCGAGGTTTGATAATCTATAGTCAGATAGAAAATGATCCCATGACATAAATGTTTAGGTTTGGTTAAATCTTACGAAATATAAGTGAGATCTGGCTATTGGATGAACCTGGCGGAAACCAGCGATTGCAATTGTCTGGAGTGAATGAGCTTCTAAGTAGTGGGCGCATTTGAAAAAAAAATAACTTTGAGCTATAAACGGCTCTTGGCTATCTTGCACCTATGCGACCCTGGTATTCTATGTTGGCCTTAGAAATTTCCGTTCGATTTCCTCAGGGAATCACTGTGGTGAGCAAGCATTAACGAAACACCTGATAGCGTAAAATGCATTTCTTGCCAGTGATACTGACTAGCGTTTACCATCTTTTTTAGGCCACTGAAGTTTCAAGTGAAACTTACCAGCGCCGAAATAACGCTGTCTATGAATATTATTAAAGCTCTCCATTTATTTCGATTCATTATACATAAAATATATGCCATTTAATCGTTCAACAAATGTCACACTAAGGCTCAAAGGTTTACTTTGATAATGCCAAAGGAATTTACTTGAAATCCAACCGCTTCGGGACAACGTTTGACCTTGGGTCTCATGTATGGACAGTGCGAGAAGGGCTACCCATACTCTAACAGGTATCATAGTCCTTCGTTGTTCAAGGCCAATGTACGAAAGCAATAGACCTCGGTTGCTGTTTAAATAACCGCACGTCCGTCCAGGCACAAGGTACTCACAAGGTCTTTTTGTATAGAGAATATGTTGAGTACAAATAGCTAGCTGCACATTGGGGTTGATGTAACTAATCATACGAAATCGTTCGGCATGAGCAGACCTAGAGGTTTAATATTGTGCTATATATTAGCTAAACATTTTCGTGGATCTTTACTATGACTAGTGTTGTTTCATATAAACAGGTATCAGAGAAGTGCTCTGATAACGGTTTACTTGAAGTCAACTTATCAAACTGCAACACGAAAACCCAGATCGGTCGAAGGGATAGCTCATGTCATAAACATATACGTTATAGGCTTCATTGCTTTTTATTAATATCCATTATTAGTTTTAAGCGCTAATCTAATTTGATATTTCAAACATAGAGCATTCTATTTCTTTAAATATCATAAATAAATAAAACGGTGCTTTTCAGGAAACATCACCATTTCCTTATCAATTAGGTTATATTACCAATAGGGAAAATATTGGCCCAGTCCTAAATATAGCTGGGCCATTGCTTCTGTGAAGCTGGAGTTCCAATTTTTATAAAATGTCTGATCCACACGATAGGCATTTTTCGGCATATTCTTTACCTGAGTGTCTCTGAGATACATCTTCGGTTTTAACGTTACGTGTCAACTGGAAGGTCCTTCTATTAGACTTTATTGGGCTTTATCTTCAGGAATAACCGAGTTTCGGATTCTACTATGGTTAACGTTTTTACTCGTATAAGATTAGAAGTCAGTCAGCTGAATCACAGCGCCATATCGGTGGCTTTCCAAACTATTATACAAAAACATTGATTGTTACTTGATACTTAAATAGCGTGCAAACATACGAATTTTGTGTGCTAGAGGCGAGCCTTCAAAGCAGAGTTCGATCAGCGGTAGCGGTTCGACTTGTATTACGTTGAACGACTGTGATTTATATAGCTTGTTTCTCAGTTATCTCTATCAATCCTCCAGGATAGTGTGTCGGCGAAATGAACGCTTACCAAGTTGACAGATTGGGTCTAAAATCGCATACTACAAATAATCTACTGAGATCGATTCCTCACAACCAAGTAATACATATAAGGCCTGATCATGTGTTACGCTCGATTTTTGAAAGCAACACTAATCGAAGTTCAATTATACATATTGCAGCAGACCCTTTTACAGGCTTAAATTGACTCTGTCGTTTTTCCTTCTTGTTCACCAGTAGCCTATAGAAAGGCATAAACTCTGACAACATTCCTGGCCTCGGAAGTGCATTATGTCTTAGCGCAGTCTAGGCTCAATATAACTCGGAAAAGTCCCAAATGGGCGCGATCCATTCTGACGGACGCAAAAAACAGGTGACAGCCGCAAGATAGGTCGATCTGTTTAAAGCCTTAACAACACCTTGGCATAAATGGTCGAAATTTTTAGAACTTCAGTTCCCCGTGAGCCTCAGTCGTAGTCATAAATGCACGCTGTACAAGAGTACACGATAGTTCGCACACAGTTTTAAGAAATTTTCCCAGTATCCTAGGTAGTCATCCGCCTGCTTTAGCTGTACTGCGCCAGTCTGTCATAAATATACTAGCACAAAAGATAGTTTGCATTTAGCCAACAAAAGACTGAATGTAGAATCTCGTCATTGTTTTTCATCAATGACGTAGACCTAAAGACTTGTTGGCTCGTTTCCTCCCCGCGAAAATTTATTTGCATATAACCTGATCCAGCGATAAAAATCTCGCTGATGAGGGGACGTAGCGGCCACTTAGATCTTTAAGAGCACTTGTGATAACAGGCAACTCTGAGACAGACCGCTGCGATCGACACGTGTTACCAAAGCTGCTCTTGTACCGTTTTTTTGTCGTGCACAGCATCAAAAGAAGGAATGGAGGTAAAGGCTGAGCGTGGTACCACTTGCGCTGTAATGCACCCGCCAGAACCTTTACCACAAGACGTGAATTTAATTATTATGCATTATCTGTGAAAGGACGAGTACTTCAGATTTATGGTAAAACGGTAAACAAACAAAACAGTAATGGCATACGAATAGGGTGAACGTTTAGTCTGTAAACCATTAGATTGACGCTGCTTGTCGGAACCTAATCTGATCGATGAAAACATCTTACAGCTTCATACTGTTTGGGTCTCTTGGAATCAACGACAATATGACTTCAGAGTTCTTGCCGTTGTCAGCTCAACTTTAATCAACAATACGACGCTTGATACATGTTAAAATCATTATAACTAGAGTTCTACACAAAATAACGCCAAAAACAAGTTTACATAGAGGACGGCGAGCTATAAGATACAATATAGATAAATATCATGGTAAGCAAGTAAAAATTAAGCCGGTCTAAATGAAACAAAAATAGCAAGGCTAATGATATAAATTATTTCTATTTGGCTGTACCGCTACGTCAAGCTAGATTTACAAATAAGCAATATTAATAATATCTTGAGGCAATCGGCGCTTGCCTCACGCACCTAGCTGTTGACAACATTAGCAAAACCCACTTTCTGCATCTGACAAGGCGATCCATGTTTGCAATAGCGGTTCCCAAAATGCATAAAGACATTAGAACACCTTTCATATAATCACTAGTTACATTGGTCAGCTGCTATATAAATAAGAAACTTCTTGCCTCTGCAAATTTTCTTAGCTAAACAAACATACATACATGTACATTTGTGTGTCTATGAGTGTGTATGTAGGATATGCGGAAAAGTTGCGCACGAGTCGCCGTACAGTATAATACCCAGCAAAGACCCTCACTATATGACTAATCTTAGGACTGCTTACTGTGGCCTTTTTTAAGAGTATCAAAGAGAACGCTATTTATGGGTTGTTTATGCATATATACATCCATATATAGTATTCTAAGTCAGTCAAGAAATGGGCCCAGTTCCATTGTGGCTCTCTGCTCTTCAACGAAGACGATGCGCCGTATGCAATATCGTACGTGCGTGGTTGAAGCTGCTGTTGTGAGTGCGAGCGTGTGAGGGAGCGTCGGCCTTCAGTATCTGTCGACGTTTGGTCCCTGATTGCCTGCCTGCCCCCCGCCCGGTTGGTTGGTTGTGGATGACGGCGATGTCGTTGCTGCCGCTGGGGGTAGCGATGCTCAATTAGTCGAACGCTTCATCGGTCCGGCTGGTAGTCGTTGAAAGATATCGTTGTAGTTGAAATGAAACTGATGTGCTTAGGCCCTTGCCGTTGTTGTTTGTATCCCAGCCTCCGCCGCCATCGCTGAGCTGAACGACGACGACGACAACGACGGCGATAATGATGACGATGATCAGAGTAATAGCGATTTCGCCCGTTCGTTCTTGCTGCTTTTGAAGTGGTGATGACGATGTCGGCAGCAGCTACTGCTTCTGCATCGTCGAAGGCGATGGCGCGTGTGATCAGCGTTGTGGCAGAAATAGTCGTAATAGTGGTGCTGGTAGTATGGCGGTGACTAATGGGGAAGAATAAGATGATACCGCAGCGGATAGCAGAGGCTGTGTGTGCGTGCACGGCGTGTGATACAGCAGGGAGCAAGGGGCCACGACCTGCTCGCCTTCGAGCGTGCGGTGGCACTGGCGACGGAACAATAATAACAACCATTGCGTGTATACTGTATAACATTCTAGTATCTGGGCGTCAGCATATGTCTCTGTGCGTGTAAATATGTAGGGACTATACCGTTTTTAGCATTGTCGTTGTGGCTGGATATGCCTGTCTCAGCTTGCCCACCACCTACTACTGATAGTCACGCATATACGCACACCTATAGAGACGTGCTTCATTGAGTCGATATGTGATGCTAGTACTATTTATGTTATTTGCGGTGCTAATGAGACAGTGGGGGAGCTAGGGAACCGCTAGCTGCTGGTAAAAACAGCTGCTATTACCGCTGTCGTCGTCGTCGTCGTCGGAGGAGCGTGACACGTGAATAGCAGAGCGGACACCCAATTTCCACTTTGACCGGCGTAGAATGTATGACCCTTCGGAACAGAATCGAAGCAAGGAAAACAGACGGAGGAGAAGCGAAAGACGAACGAACACGACGAGAAAAAGCGCACTCACATTCAACTGTACCATTTCCTCCCTCCTCCGCGCTAGCCCGTCCCCCATCATCAACAATAACAACACCACCGTCACATCTAACATGTGGCGCAGAAGCACCGAAGACAACATCAATATTCATATCAATTGGCAATCAGTGTCAGATCATGCGCGCCTGCAACTCTATGCGGTTCTCTGAGAACCAACGGCGGAAGGCCTATCTACCGTTAGGCTCTCCCAAAGCAGCAGCAGTGGCAACAATAACCACGGCGGTTATTCACATAATGATAATAACGCTTCAATAAAAAAAAAAAAATAATAATATATCGATATTAAGTGAAATCACTATACGCCATACAGTGCCTTCACGCTCTTCGCGGCAGGTCGATACTGCTCTGTGTCGATAACTACACCGGTAATTATTGTATTTTTTTTTTTATCAAGTTTCATTTTAGTCTTAACGTTTATAATAATGTGATGAGGAATTATTTCGCTTTTGCTGACGGGCCTGCACTTCGTAAGGTCCAACGCCTAATGATATGAGGATGCATTGCGGTACTATCGTGTATTATATGGTGAGCTATCTTACCAATGTTTATTTACAAGTACAAGACGGCATTGTTTGCTCTAGCCATTAGCTGCTATTTTAGGACGCTGCTGGGATTCAACATGTGGATCTTTCTCTAAGCATCATCTTTGACAATGCGTTTACCACCACGGAACATACAGCATGAAGGTAACACCAACAAGTTGATCATAACCGTTGAATATGGAAGAGCTATCAGTAGTATCACGGATAGGCTGACTTCGGTGGGCACATCGATTAGAGCCGATGTCCTACATTTTCAAAATCCTTTGCGTTCCGACGATGCCAGCAGTGTCCTGCCCAAGGCTCAAAGAGCTGTCAAGGCTGTTAGCGCATTGCAAAGTGCCGCTACTTCGATGCTGAAGTTTTAAGAATTTTAAGTGAGAGTACTAAGTTAAGAGTAGCCTTTTGAATCAAACTCACGTTCTACGTACTGACTAAACAGTACCGACTTTTAGCCCAATTAGTGAAACTGGCGTTTAATTTAATGAAGATATCGTCTCATGCGTGGAGGCAGTTATGTATAAAGCTTCGACATTGAAAAGCAATCTTCGTTACCATTACCATCGGAATACTTCACCGGTACTTCGAAAACTCCTACGTAAAGGTGTTGCCAAAAGCCCGCACTCGATAGTAGTAATTAGAATCTGTCACTAAGATCAAGGCTAACAGTATGTGCATGTAAATTGATTATCACTATGCTAGATAATATCGATAATCATTTTGATACTATGCGTTACACCTTTAAAAAAAACCTATTGGCGGACCTTTGTATGATTACTATAGCAAAGTGTCTTTCTATTATTTTTTTTAATTATCAAGAACGATCTAGAAATCAGTCAGCTTGAATGATGAGCTATAAACGGTTAATTAGAATGGGTGTCGTCACCTAAATATTAGTGCACCGTTTATCCTCAGGCAAATTCTATATACACGATAGAAGCTGCGGCGTAAGATCGTATGTAACAAGAATGATGAAAAAAAAAAGCATATTACGTAATATAGCAGACTATTTAAATATATAGAGAATTCCTTTGACGGCCATGCAATGCCTGTCGTCGAGACGCACGAGCCGTGTGATGAGAAGAAAAAAAAATACTATGCGAATCCGATTTAAGATCATTCAACCAATGTTATTCCCTCGATTGCTACGAAGGGACGCAGACAATCCACAAGTGCCGGACCAGACAGTCGACCCGTTGCAGGAAATGATCGGCAACAACTGAGCACTCAACAACAATCGCAGCAGTTCCCCCCTGAGGTAATAATAATAATAATAATAATGGACCAGAGTGTGGATTGTATCCATACCGTCACAAGTAATGGCTGATAGCTACTTCCGCTCCGCTAAGACGGGATGATTATTTTTCAAATCAACTAGATCACTAAATACATAGAAAATACTCTAGTTTAATTGACAGCGATACATGTACTACATTTAGACAAAGTTGTCGTATTTAACGCAACATACTCTATGCTATATATAAGAAGTATGTGATTTATTAGTGCCAATTAACTAGTTTATACGCACGTTGAAAGCACTATTGTACGCTACTGAAACAAAGGCAAGTCTTCAAATACACGCGAAGATATCGCGATAGCCTTTGTAATGGAAATGACACTACGAGCTGAATGGCCGCATTTCACTATTGAGTTCCTTCCATTTTTATTAACAGAACAGGCATTATAGCTCATTCACGCTTTAGATGAATCGCTATATATATATATAATTAATAAAGCTCTTTTTTTGTTTGTGTGTGTGTCAACGTGATATCGAATGCGATAATTGTTATGCACATGATGATTTACTCGCCTTTACGACAGCCAACCTATCATGACCGGTGGGTCGGCCGTACGTCGGCCTGTCTAAGCGTTCTTATGACGCCAGCGTTAGTCGTCTGATTGCTGCTGCTGCTGCTGCTGCTGATGTGGTTCATAGGCCAGAAACGATTTTTTGCGTTCGCCAAATTTGGCACGGCAACTCTGCGAAGCCGACATCAGCTCCGCGACGTTCATCGTTCGCGGTGGTTCTTGCTTTTTTTTTCTTCTTCTTCTTCTTCGCATCAATACGATTCTTTCCCATTATTGGCATTACTCAGGCTGATATTGCCATCCAGCTATATCTACGAATTGTAGAGCGTGAATAACGTTGCACGAACAGTGTCGTTGTTTGTTATAGTAATATGGAAGCGGTAACAGCGGTCGCAACAAGTAGAAGTAATAGTAAGCGTACTAGCAGTAGTTGTCCGAATGGCAATGGTCATGGTTGGAGAGGCGGTAGCCATCATAACATGCCGATGTAATACAAAGAATGATCCATTCCTTCGTTTCCAGATCTGCCATTCGATGGTGCCCATTATGGGTGTGTGCGTATAGTTAGAACGCTGCACGTCGCTTGCTGCCACGCCATGAACGCCGATGGCGCTACCGAAGCCGCCATATATCTGTACGAGTGATAGTTGTACAGGATGTTACGTGCCCCGTCGCAAGACCCCGATATGGCCAACAATAATAATAACAACAACGACCCCCGCTACAATGTTATTAGTTCCAATGATAGCAGTAGCGGCAGGCCGCCGGGAAACACCGTTGAATACAAATGTAGCTAAAGTTCCAAGTTGTATTATTTTGTAGTTATTCTAATCTTATAAATACTATGTAGCTATATGCACCGAGACCTAACTGTCAGCAGAATTCCACTAACTGGTCATTGCTGAAGCCGCGACAATATTCGATGCGTGATACGTGGATGGGAGCATTCAAGAGCAAAAAAAAAAAGTTACCGGGTCAATTGTAGGTGCAAAGACACCAACACTTTATGCACGGTTTTTAGCGAAAAAAAAAAAAAAGACAAACAGCTAAAAACATCACTAACATATTTGTTATAGCTTTGAAGTCACTTGAAGCGGTAGCTCCTAGTTTACTATGAGCACATTTATACCAAGGAACATACCGGGTCGAACCGGCACGGCAGGAAGGCGTTTGCGAATAAATAAACAAAGTCAGATGCGGACTCTTGCATCTATTATAAATGCAGATGTCCCAAAAAATGTATACATTGTTTACATCCTTTGTTGACGTTACAGTGACTGGTGGCAATTATTTGAATTTACTACAGGACTCTGTTTTACTACGCATTTGGCAGGACCCTGGTGAAGATCACGAATTTTATTTCCAATAGGACGGAGCACCTGTAAGTTATTATCGTGATGTAAGAGCATATCTTGATGAGAGTCTTCCAAGCAGATAGGTTAAACGAAGAGGTTCCATAAAATATTCGGCCCTTTCCCCAAACCAATCTACGCCAGAAAATCAACGATACTGGCAGAGTCAAATGGCGTAACGAATGTACGCCACAACGTTCCATGAAAAAGCGTCTGTTGAAGCTTGTGAATCAATAGTTCACCGTTATAGGCAAGAACGATAATAATTTTAAACATCTGTAATAAGATAAAAAGTTATAGATGTATTTATGTAGATTTTTTCTATGCGATTCAAATATTAATTACATTTCATAAAAACTGAAACTATGGTCGTTCAAACTGTTTCTTACAGACACACATACACACGACCGGTGTATGTTGCCATCACCTAGAGCGGGGTACCATTCGATGACGCAGCGATAGGTCGCCTCCCACAGTAATTCATATCTGGCATGCCAGAACCATTTACAAGCTGAGGTTGCACTTAGTGCAAAGTAGCATACGGACAGAAACGAAAAAGAGCAGGCCACTATTGACGCTCGATCCTTCAATGTCCTCGAACGAATTGCCATTGTGGCCGTCCCGTTACGATGTTCCACGTGGCGACAATGACGGTTCACGGTACCGATGATGACGCTCATAGTTGAGGCCAAGTTGCGTTCTGCACGCACGTGTAATCTTGGCTGGCAATAAAAGCGTCGCTTTGGCGTCTGCTTCTATCGTCTATCGCAACAATAGTTGACGAAGCTGCCTAGACTATACTCATATACGTTAGCAGTGGCACGCACCGGAACGTTTCTATGTTCCTTCTTTCATATTTGTATAAATGGTTATGTTGGCGCCGTCACCGAAAACGATGCTCATGGTGACGATGATGATATATGGACACCGTGTTTGTTCAGACGTGAGTTGAATATACAAAGATACGCACACTCATATCATAAAGTATGTACGTGCACGTTTTTATGCATGTGTCTGTGTGTATACGAGTACAAATGTGTGGAAATATGTATTCGTCAACTGAGACGATAACAACGATATGGTTGCCCAGCGTTTTCTTGCGTGCGATCCCAATATGAAGTAGAAATAGAAAAGGAAAACAGTAAGGAAAGAGAAACCAACATTCACAGCGGTGGCGCTACCTTAGCTTCTGCTGATCTACGCCGATGCACGATGATGATGTACGCTGGAGTTATATGTCGCCGTAGATATGCTATTCACAATCCAAGCTGTTATACTCCTGCGGCATTAGGTTTAATGACTTGAAAAGAAATAATCACGATCACCCCGTAATAGATTTGTAAAAGTATCTAAAAGTGCAACATTGTAGTTGCAGGTCTTCATGTGTGCTTTTTTGTCGTTACGTAAAACGCTGAAGTTGAATTGATATCGAATAGGTCTAACATCTTTCAGAAATTGTCTCCTGCTATCTTATTCGTCTCGTAGACTTTTTTTTTTCTAACTAATTCTGAATTGCAGTCGAAACTTAGGGTAGCAGTTAGATTTCTTATTTGCACAAATCCGGTGCCTCAGCGATGTTTTAGATAATATGTAGTATAACGGAAGGCTGGCATAGTCCGTGAGATTTCGTGCAATGCGTTTCTAATTTCCTCAAATAACAAATAGTGACGAGTTCACGAGTCGTAAAATCCGAAGACTTCTGGGCCTCGCTTACAAGCGCATTGCTTCGTTCAATAAAGGTTCTAGAATTTTCATAATTCTATATATATTGCTAGGTATATTGCTGAAAATTTGCTATTTCATTATCCGAAACATATCTTCGTGATTCCATTCCGCACGGTACTCTACGCTGTTCATCACAGCGTTAAAAACATTTATTAACGTTATCATAAAGTTAAAAGCAAATACCGTCAGTAGATCAAATATAGACAGGCCCCATTGACGTTTCGTAAGTAATTGATCTCGTCCCAGATTGAACATTTCAAATAGCTCTCCTATTTGACACTAGAAATACGAGATACATTCGATCACGAATTCTGTATATTACAGTTTTTTTTAACCTCTTTCTTCTTTAAATCAATTATACGATTTAACAGAGCAGCTTGCTTTTGGTATACCTTTGTCAAATTAGAACTGGGTTCGATGCTTTTAGTAGGGCGTAACGACCTGGTCCTCTTAAATAAGCAGAACGCCTTCAAGTATTGCGGAACGAGATAATAGATAGCAACATATTGTGTTGTACAGGTTTACATCCTCCCACATGGTTAATATTCTTCCGTTGTAACGGCAGGCCCATAGGACAGAGGCCCTGCAGTTGCCATTTAAGATGCAACAACTTCCGTAAGCACCTATGGGAAAAAAGATTAATCCTACGCGCCGATTGTATCACACTCATGTTTTGCACCTCTCTTTGGCAAAGTAGAGCTACCTCTGGCTGACGGACAGACATGATCCGTACGACCAGCCTCAATTCATTCTCACGCCGCTGAATGATAACAACAACAGCGTTAAAAATAACTGGCGATAATTTCGTGGCTTCGTTTTCTTTGTTACAGACGACAAAATCCAATAGACGGCCGTATCTTTCCAAATGTCGGTATCGGTTAAAAGTACCACATGTGAAATCATTTTGTTATATTATACGAAGATCCACGCCAAGATGGCTGGATTCCAGTTTAAAATAATCTAAATCTTTAAAACCACGACTAACATAAGTCAGCTTTGGATGGATAAAGCCGAAGTGAGCCTTGTCAATATTGTCAGCATCTAGAATCTTCGCGATTGGTCGTTTGGTTATCTTCAGTAAGTCAAATAGAATCGCATTGATTTTGACTATATTTTTTCTCTCATTTAATAATATGGCCAGTTTGAATTTTCTCCAGCGCCTTTGCTTTCGACTTCAGATGATCCGCACGTAAAACAGTATTTCGTGACGATTAGAAATGCTCAAAAACAAGCACGCCTCTCTCGTCCTGAATGGTTGCGTCTGGCTGTTTGGCGCTGGTTTCCTGTTGTTGTTGTTACGTGTTTATAAAACAGGGCACGACGAGCTGGAGACGGCGACGCCAGCAGCGGCGGTGTCGAATGCCGTCAACGGCAGATGCCTCACGTTGAAGTGTTGACGATCGTGGTGGTGTTCTGATGCCAGCGACCGCACTTACATATGCAGACGACGTCGCTATTGCCGCTGCATTCCAGCGAGAAATGCGGTGGAGTGGCACTGTATTTTGAAAGAACTTACCAAAGGGATTGACTGAAGGTGATGCGAGCATTAAATGCCAAGGAGAAAGACCAAGTCTCGCGCAATGAAGCCGGCGCCGATGGCGGCACAGATTCCGATGGGGGGCCTCATCGTAGGGCCTTGCATAGCACCTGCCCGACTACCGCAAAAGCCGTCCATCGACTAAACCATTGAAGTCTGCGAAGTACTCGAAATTGGTGTAGTGGTAACAACTTGGGCGAGATAAAAAGGGCACGCCACATAGTCACCGACATTTTCTCTTAGCCGTTGCACAGCAACTGTCTCCGGTATTAAGCATATTAAATCTTGTCTCTTGGGGGTCTCAGCGGTCGGAAAACGTCGCTTTCCGGCTCCCCGAGCTGCTGCAAAGTTCGTCGTCGTTTAACTAATTTTAATAGATCTCTTACTCATTTCATCAGCGTTGCATTACGCTTTCTTGGTGTTACATTTGCATAGATGGCATGAAATGAATTTATGTAAATCGCAACGCATATGCAGACATAAAGCATACCCTTATTCTACTTCGATCTTGCTTTTTAAAGACTTACACCGAAAAATATCAGCTGTGACTATTGTTAGCTCCCGAGACAAGCGAACTTTCGAAGTTATATGTACACCTATTTTCAATGAAGTTTTCCAACAATTTTCCAGGTTTATTTCAGCCTAAAAATAGCTATCGTTATGGGCCACCGCTGCTTTTGGTAACGGTCTCAATGTTCGCTGGCGACAACTGTTATAGCATGCGACATTCGCTTGATGTAGAGATCCTCATCTCTCAGATAGGCAAGTAAATTATGGGATAATGACCAAACTAGCATGTTCTACCAACGGCGAGAAAATAAAACCATGCGACTGGCTGGTCGATACAATCGATGATTATTTCCACCGGACATTTTTTGCCCATAGTGACGATGTTTCCTGTGTATATCTGTACACCCATTTTTTTTTACCAGTCCTTTTAGCCTTCTGCTGAGGACGCTTACATAATACTGCAAGAACAATAGCTACCGCTATTTTATAAATGGCTGGATGAGAGGTAGCAGAACAAGACGCGATGAAACACGGCAGGAAAGGTATATATATTCAAGTTGGGAGACTTTGTTGGCTGTACAGCCATACATCACTTTCGGAATTCGAGCATAGATTATCCAGTATATACGCAATGTACTAACTTGCACCAATTTTAAGAACCTCTTCACAATCGTCCTAACCATTTGC